CTACTACTTTTAATCCTTGTTTTTCTGTACTGAAGTAACTTAGTTTTGTGTTTTCTGGATCGTCAACCTGATCGTAGAGCTCATTATCTATCACTAATACTTAGTAAGGTAAGATGTAGGTATACCTGACAATACGTCCCCTTTGTCTAAACCCATATGTTCAAGGGACAATAACGTAATCTCTCTTAACAGACTATGTCTATTATACCGTAAATACATTCAGAATACTATTTCGAGTATCTAAGCAAAATTAATTCATAGAATCTACTTAAATTAAGCTATTAGAGTAATAATACTTGGTACTAATCAGAAACACGCATTGTTTTCTTACGTAGTTAGTGCGTACAATCCTCATTAGCAGATCCTTCGATGGTTATGAATAGTAATTACAAGCGTCTGTACGCCAAACTAATTACTTAGTGATAATTGTTCTTGCTTTACGTAATGCGAACGGTCTGATATTGACAATTATGGCGCCTTGGTAGAATATTCAATATGTATTATTAGTGTTTACTACGTGTGTGTCTGTTTAGGGGTTGTTAAACAAAAGTAAAAAACTTTAAGAAAAATCGAGTATGCATGAAATGCTTTTTTTGAGCATTGATGAAATGATTTTTCTTATAACTATTTATTTTTCTAAACATTTTCTAAACTTATTTCATAGATTGCTTTGTTCTTATCTTTTGTAACAACTGTTTGATTCCTAAATACCACCACATAAGAATATTTTCGTATTACAAACTTTGTACGAGATAACATCTTTGGCAATGTTTAAAGAAATTGCGTCGCCTGAAAATATAAATGGAGTTACAAACCTTAGAAATTTATGTCGCAACAGTAACAATTTGAACGTATTGATAGCATAATAATGTAGTCTGTAAAATAATCAGTTTACATTTTAAAAGAAATATTTTGTTTAGACGGTTAGCGCTTTGTATAGAAAAGAAGTAGAGCAATTCTTATGGCCCAAATTTCGCAATGTAAAAACGTGTAAAATATGGAAATTGAAGCAAATATCATTTAAATCACGATTTCATTCAAGAAAGTTTGACAATTCCGGATTCCGTGGGTCAGTTTTCAATATATTTAAATTTTAAATGTGACTCATGTTCCGATTGTGATCGACCACATGTTACTGATTCATAATAAAACATCATTTTATTCATTAACACTGTTACGAAGTATTTTATACATTTTTCATTGCTTTCCACATTTTTTTTAATTGTTATAAATAGAGTAGAATTAACAAAAAAGATAATATTTTTTAACATTTTTGTTAATGCATTTTAACATCCTACAAGTAATAAGTAGAAAGATCGAGAAAAGAGACGGCCCTAATACAAAAAAATACAATAAATGTATTTTAAAGTTTTTAAAACATATGTTCTTAAACCGTGAGTAATCCCATGCATATTAACAAGTGTTCAGTTATTATATTGTGTATGACATCGATCACTACGCCACCCCCTCACAATAATTAATCCTCCACACGTAATAAATAACAAGTAGAGAACAGTATATTACAATTGTTTAATTTTTAACGATTATACTTTTGTAAGTAATGTTGAGCATCCTAGGACTAATGAAATGCTACATATCTAATCTAATATCATGAATGTGGAAGTTTGTGTGAATGTATGCATGTATGTATGTTAGCTATTCTTTCACGATAAAACGGCTTTATCGATTTCGTTTAAATTTTGGTACTTATATAGAAAGTTGATATCATAAATACGTCGCGTGGAAGCTATTTAAGAAATGATAACATTGGCATTGGCATGTAGGTATACCAACCGCCACGTAATTAAATTTGTTTTTAATATGAAAATATAGGACAGGACAGTAACGTAATCATTTCTATAAAAATAAGTACAACTATCAATTTATGTACGGTAAGGTTTGTGCTTTGCAATGTAATAAATGACGAACGTCTGGATCGATTTTCTACAAACTTCACATAATCTACTACATAGTCCAAACAAAACCTAAACATTTCGTTGGATACGTGAATACAATTATTGACTTATAAAATTATGAGCACGTATTATACCTATACACTTTGCCTACAGCCACATTTATAGGCATTTTATATCATATTGTTCCTGAGTCCACACTGTTGGTGGTCGTTCAAACGACCTCGTATACACTCGCGCATAGCTAAACGCTGTCAAGTCAACTAGGCTCACTTGTATCAATTCACTATCATTTAATACAACTGTTTCTATTAAATCATTTAGATACAAGTACAAGGTACCACACTATCAGTTATACAGTACCTACATAGAGTTTCATATATATACAGTTGTATACAGTACATATGTATAAGTATATCTAAATAAATATGGACAAGTATACTATTTGAAGATTACCTGTTGACAATGATATTGATGAATTTTTAGATGAAATATCGTTAATTATTTTTATTTTTATTTAGAACTAGCTACTCTCGCGCTGTTTTACCTACTCGCTGCTCTGTCGTAGCGTGACATACATAGTGACAGAATTTTGAAAATCCGACCAGCGACACCAAAGTTTACCTTTAAAACCTAAAAATTCTACCTCTTCTCTCTTTTTTTCTACTCTAAAGCAAATGATAATTAAAACAAAACAGTTCCTACATAGAATAATTAAACACCCCAAAATCGCGACGATCTAATAACTTACTTATTACAAAAGTAGAAAGACCTTTTTCAAATACACGAAATAAAAAAACAGAACAAATGTTTTATCAGAAAAGAGATCACATTTAATTAATTTAACTTAGGTATTACAAGAACAAAACATTTACCTTTTATTCGTTACCGAGCTCAAAGCGAAACATGAGATGAAAGGCACGAAAACAATTTTAATTCCCATAGTTTTATTCAAGTCTTTATTCTAAGCGTAGGTAAGGTAAAATTGAAGGCGAAACGTACCACAACAATATGCTAATTAAAAAAGAGAAAGTAATTTATTTACTGCGTTGAAAAAAATGTGTTTTGGGTCAATGTTTCTAGTGTCAATTAACATGCGACGGTTACCACATATTATTGCTATGTACGTACCTATATATAACACACAAATGTATGTAGGAACATGATATGTTATCTAATAAAAAAAATCCTTCCAAAAATCTTTTAGTTATGGCTTTTAAGAGACGAGTAAAGACACTCTCAGAAAGGGTAAACTGCAGCTTCGACTTCAGCTGACTAGAGTTTTTTTTGTAATATCATAATTAATAATTTACAAAGCCCAAAACAAGTAGTAATACGCTACAATATGACTTCACTAATTGGTATAGCTAAACAGTAATGCCATCAAAATAAATACAACTTGTGCTATATAATAGGTACTAAAAGTCTCTAATTAAATAAGTTATAGTATATTGACACTAAAATAGAAAGAGTGTTGTACGATTCAAACTAATCTTGACTGATTTTCGAACCAATTGTCAGTAGTAGCTTATGATAAGTGCTCCATAGAAATAAATGTCTACCAACCACACATTACTTGGATAATTTCCAATCATTAGTTTATATTTATAATATAATTCACTTATCTGTAGATTTTCAAACAAATAAAAATATCATTGTTTTTTCCCCAAACAAAACAAATATTGAAATAGCCTACTGGCAAAAGAATAAATCATCCTTCGACAGATTGTTTGACAAACAAAGACTTAAAAAAACCGTCCATTTCTTCTTATTGTCCTTAGTCATAATATCTTTGTATTGTTCTTAGAAGCCGCAAAGTAGTTTAATTAAACTACAAATTGATAGACACTGCAATTATGGAAATTAATTGGTATAACACGAACGTAGGAGGTCTCTTGTTGAATCTAATTAATATACCTATTTATTTTTTTTGAACATAAGCAAACTTAAATATTTATAGAGTAATTAAATATCACATATAACTATAACTGTATCAAATCATCATTAGAAAATCAGTTACCGTTACATGTTATGACGTTCGGTACTTTGATTGGCCTGGTACAAGTCAATCAACCAATCAGAGTGATTGAAGAGCCGTTGAAAACTCGAATAAAATAATAATATATAAGAAAGAAAGCAATATGCTCAACATAAAAAAGTAAACAGAACAAAAGCCCTTTCAACAAAAATGGAAATGGGCCAGACTTTTAGATCAGAAATGGTCAGCAAAAGTAGAATTGTTGAAAGACCCAACCAGTAAGAGATGCCAAGGGATAAAATAATACAACCAGATGGGAAGACGACCCTAATGGACAGCTGGCTTAAATTGGATTGATGTAGCACAAGGAGATTCATAAGTGACACGCCTAACCCAAACCGCGGTTTTTGATTCTTCTCTATCTTTTGAGAGTAAAATTCGTAGTATGACTATTGTAATAATTTGAAGACGAAAATATTTAATTATCTAACTTTTTTAGGCACCTTTTCGTTTCGCCTCGTTTGGACTGTAGACGAAGTGAAAATGGAAATTTGTACAGACTTGACTATAGCTTGTTACTAGTTTACGGTACTTGTTTTATAGATTGTTTTTTTTAGTTAGGGTCTCCACTTAGGGCGTACATTATAATCACAAACTAAGCAACAGCGCTCTAATGCCCGGTTCCTATATTTAACGAATCGTCGTTGTACACGCAATACGACCAAATGACATTACGAATGGTTATCTTGACCGTCTACTGACGGTTAAAATATTTATAGGAACACACAGACACCATAGATCTCCATACAATTCGCTTACCGATATCCGTTAGTTGCAAACCGTCAGTAAGTTGCACGACGAGACGTTTATTATAGGAACGGTTTTAGCTTACGAGTCGTATAAAAAACTACTATTCGTAATTAAAACGGATCGTTTCCTAATTATAGGAACCGGGCGTTAGTGCCACCCTGCTGGGGTACGTGTTAGGCATTAAAGGGGTAACCCGATTGCCAATTCCAAACTTCACGCTACAGTTGATATTTTCGTCACCAAAATCAAAAACTCTAGTTGGTCTTATATTAGAACTGACTGACAAAAAGTAAAGCTCCTGTTTATTATTCAGAAAATACTCACATATCTTTGGTTTCGCCAGTTGTATCATCATCAGCCTATAAGTGCCCACTGCTGAGCAAAGGCCTCTTCTCAAACGGAGAAGGTTAGAGCATTAATCACCACGCTTGCTCAATGCGGGTTGGCGATTACAAACTTATAATTAGAAATTATAAGTCCAGGTTTCCTCACGATGTTTACCTTCACCGTATGTCAGTGGTGTCTATTTAATCATAGAAAGTACATATGACTCGGAAAAAGTCACATTGGTACTTGCCAGGTTTCGAACCCACACCCTCATGCATGAGAAGCGGGCTCCTTAACCTCCGGGCCACCACGCCAGTTGTATCAGTTAGGTTAATTTGGATATCTACAATACCTAAATAGTTCATTAAATACGAGACAACATATTTCACACAGACCACTCTATTTTTCTGTCTAGACCTCAACAATGAAGCAGAGAATAGCGGAATAGTAGTTAATATTCATAAAAATGAAAATCAAACAAGGGAACTAGTATGAGATTATTGGATAGCCATTTTAAAGCCACGGGATTAATAAAAATATAAAAGCCCTTATTAAAATAATTCCATAAAATACGGGAAGCGAAAAATTCGTCATAAAATTCATATTTGTTGAGCTAACCCAAAAAGCTTTACACGGGGATCTAAAATGAATCTCACGGTCTACAGTCCCGTTAATTTGAATTGGTCATCCAGTCTAGGATTAATCAAGGCCAGTCAATTTGCCAGTGTCCAACACAGATCTCTCTATAGAACATCGGCCTTTGATGCATTGGCAAATGCTATGAATAGCGTACAATTTCATTGGTTAGGATAGATTGGAAGGTTTTAGGGTGTCTGAATAGCTCTGATTGCAGATACCACAAGATTTTTGGCAACTGATACAAAATTGACTACATTGTTTATGACTTAAACCTATAGGTACCAATAGGCCTCTTCAAATATGCTCTTAAATGCACGCACCCCCGAATTTTCAATTTCATGTCCAAATTTGCTAATATGCCCCGAGGAATTTTAAACGTGAGGTAGAACATGTTCGAAACAGGATACGCTACAATATGGGGTTTTCCAAAAAAGGAGTAAAAAATTTAGATTGAATTTAAACGGTCTGGCAACACCTCGAATTATGTACAGGCTTCGGAAACTGTTTTCCACCAGGTGATCGTTTTAGATAAAAAAATAAGTTATAATATTTTGTTATTTTCAAGAGTTCTTTGACTCTTCTTTGATCTTATTCCACCTTAGCGTAAAGTTCAAGTCACAACAGAAATCGATGATATCAGCAGTTCTTAAGATCAGAAGAAGTATTTAGGAGCCACTGGAGAGATATGAAGGTCATATCACTCTGATCTGACCTTAATAGCTGTCTAGTGGCTACTCAAAATTCTTGATCGTTAGGCTTCAAGACCACGCTCTCAGCCTTTCCTATTCATAGATAGAGTAGATTTATTTGTTTCTAGGAGAATTAGAAAAATTCACTCTTCCTTTTGTATACTAATTTAGTCAGAACTACATTTGGTATGTTTCGTCAAATTCTGCCATTATTCCAGAATAAAATTTTTGGCGCTCAGTAGTGTTCAAAAGACTGATGATTGTAACTGCCTTGTTGAGCAAACAGGATCAAATATTGTTACCTGGCTCTGTTGCTCCATTTAAAGCTAACCGTTCTGTCAGTTTCAGCGTTTTCACAGGCGCACTACAAATACGCTGCTAACAATGTTTACCTATTGAAGTATCAGTAGTAGATGCATGAACAGTGATGCACGAACAAAGAGGGTTGGTATTTTTTATTTATTATTCAAAAATCTTATAATATATAAATTAAAAACAGCGAAAAAGAACATTATATACCGGTCAAAAATTTGACATAGGCAAAAATAACTTAATCAAAATCTTCACTATAAATGTTAATTTACAGATAGATTGTTTGAACTTGTAGGAGATTCTGAGTTCGATTTGCTAAGTATATACTAAGCTATATTTGTACACAAAGAATAAATTGTAACATTATAATTTAATCAAAAGTCTGGTAAAAGGCAAAAGATAATATTTTATATTTAAGGAAGTTTTTGGAACGAAAACACACACAATTTGTTTACGTCTCATTTCGGGGAGAAAATGTTGACAGTCGTAGCGTAAGTAAGACCAAATAAAACATGCTCAAGTATAAGCCGCTTTTCCCGCAGCTCAAGTCGAAATTCCTGTGACGTGTTATGCAAAAGATTTTCCTCAAGGCGGTGCCGTACTGGCGGTACTCGAAATCATAAATGCACCGTGCTCTAAAGCGCTCGTTATAAATGCACGGCTGCGCTCAACAGTTAGACTTCACTTTATAGCTTACACGTGCAATAGAGCTTTTCATATTTTATAATGCACTCGGAAATTCAATTCAATTTCAGGCGCTGTGTTGAACAAAATGCCCTCTTCGCTGAAATTGAAATATCTCCAACATTGTCCTCCTCAACGTGGCGAAGAATTTAAAGTAATAAAAATAACGGTACGTACTTAATATTTAATTTAGCTTCTATTTAAAAATGCCACGTCTAGTTGACTTTCTAAAAAAACTGTTTCAATATAAAATGCCTTGGCAACAGCTGTGTCGCTTCCAACGCGAATTTAATGACAAATATAATATAGGTCTAATGCCAATGGGCTAAGCTCTAGGATGCCATGTTTCGGTCCTACTACAATATTTTGCCTTTGTTTAACGTAACCAGCGAATTATTAATCTTCCCTGCCCCCCCACTATGCTCCGAAATTGGGCAGTGGAGGGTGGCGTTGGTTCGCTTTTGGAGCTCAGAAACCTTGAACGCATTCACGAACTAAGCATCGTGGTACTTCATACAATAAAGACGATACACGAAATTATGCTTTATTACAAGCGTATTACGTCGAATTTAAATAGTCATAAGTGTTTTGTTCAATTGCTTTGTGTGATCTTTAAGTATTTCTTTGATGAGCGATGGGCTAATAGTAATTTACTAAAATGGTTATTAAATCGTTAACACTAAGATTCTGAGAGTCATATGGCTACCAAATAAGCCATATTTATTCATGCGTGTGAAATTATATGAATATTGTAATTGTAAAGAAATGATATATTGATGTCATTTATTCTTTGTTATCTAAATTGCAGCATAATTCAGGCTGGCATACTTATCATAAAAGTAGTAACTAAAGAAAAATCGTCGCTTTTATGAAAATACGTGTAAGTAAGTGGCACGTGTACCAACAACAAAACAACAACAACATTAAAACAATTGATTTAAACGGTGTACACATATTAGACATAATTATGAGCAATCCTTAGAATTACCGGCAATTGGACAAATTATAGGTAATTTAAATTCTTCGAATCGATACAGTGCCTTCAGAAAGCTATGTAATGCAAAACTTGAATGAATGGGATTATGAGTACCTATTCATTCAACTTGAATGAACGGGATTATGAGTACATAGTCATTCTGTAGTAGGTACCTAATCCTAAAAATTCATACAAAATATTTATTATTCCGTTGCTACGTCCAGTAAAAAATTCAGACTTTTACTGACTAGGTAGCTGATGTTCAGTCAGGGTAACGGGGCAAGCGCAATGAGGCACCGCGTCCACGGTCTAAAGTAGGAGAAGGAACGGGGAGTTTGTAGTCAGTAAGAGTCTGACACTGTCTCTCGCCGTACCCTGGGCGGGAGAAGTCATTTGATGATTTTCCCCTGACCAAAAAAACTCTTACTAACTGAAAATTACACCGTCTCTTCTTCGGCTCCGATCCGGAGCCACGGTACATCATAGCGCTTCCACCCAAGACTCCTGTTAAATATTCCAATACACAATTTCTAATTTCGCATTTTTACCTGCACATAACACCCCATAGGCGTCTAGCACTTGATTCGAAGCATCATAAAATTCTTTACATAATATGACGTAATATTTGCAGAATATTTCCCGCCCTGCCATGGTGGCAAGAATTTAATATTGTCGTTCTAAAATTGCGTTCACACCCTCATATAATCCAGCGCACATACTCTCTAAGCTCTATAGACAAAATAGATGTGTACTACGTGGTACATTCAACCAGGTACAGACTACAAAATAAACAGTGTATGTTACATGAATATTTTCATTCGTTGTATCGTCCACGTTGCTATTATTTAGACGTTTAAAATCGAATAGAATCATCTGATATAGCGTTGCAACGCAAAATAAACTAATTTGTTGTAAAAATTATGATCAAAAATGTTTTCGTCAAAAATTTGATACGTATTTGTTAGTGTCATTCGTTTGTTATAAGAAGTAAAATAAAGCTCTTAAGTATATAACATGTCTGGTTTTAGGAACCGTCCTGGCTTGGTCCTCTCATACGTAGCGCTACCAGACAGCGACATTAGCATAAAAGTCATGCGACTTGTCATAAAATTAACAAAGTATAACCCACCGGCGCGGCAAGGTGTTGTCAAACTGCCACATGTACTTACATATATTATGTAGTTAACAAATAGTTTACGACACAGCGTGGGTAGCCCCACTAGGGATTTATTCAACGTCCTCGTTCGTCACATGACAACTGACGTAACTATGTGAGGGTGGAACTACGTAATACGTTATTTTCCTGCCAAACGGAGCTTCATGACACGCACCGCGTGAACCACATCAGGTGTGAAAACGATCAGGACTCGTGGGGAAAGAAAATTGTGGACCTTCATCGCTGATGCAAATGTTATAAATATTGACACTGTAAACACCCATTGTTCATCGTTGTTAAGGACCACTCTGAACATTGTTTTGGTACGATTCCGATATACAGTCGTTTTTGAACTTGGATATTGAATATTCCTTTGGTAATAGTATTTTTAAGTCGTGTCGTATATCTAGTAAACAGTTTCAATTGGCCATTTCCCGCAGCGAAATGATTGGTCACGGTTGTACTATCATGATACATTTTTGGGTAGTGTTTTAACTTGCTCGAAATTTAACCCCTCGCGTATAAAATCAGCTGATTGGTAAGCGCGAGTGCAATGACCTTATAACTATTCCAGCCGCCCGCACCCTCGTCTTTACGTATTAATGTTGGTTTTTAAGAACATTATATGCAGACCAGTTGTACTACAAATAAAAAATACTTACTTAAATCGCGAAAAGAAAAACATCAAATAGCTCTGTGTATATACATGTAC